CATGACTTTCAAAAATTTATAAAATAAACACATGTCAGAGATTTTATTTAATCCACTAACTGATGAAGGAATCTTAAAATAATACAACCAGCTCAAAGATGCTTTCAAGGAAGATACACATGAAGTCATCAGGAATGCTGAGATAAATTTGCTAATAGATATCACAAAGAAAAAAAATAGGTATCTACCCACAGGGGAATGAATAATCAGTATCTCTCCATTGAACAGGGTTCATTTGCATTTCTCTGTATAAAAGTCATATACATTTCTCTCACTTTTCTACAACCTATATTGTTATAAAATGGCCCAGACAATGAAAGGCACAAATAAGCCAGAAATTATAACTAGTCATTCTTTTCTTTGCCCACTTCAATCTCATGTTTTTTCTGACACTAGTGTTTATCATTCATTTTTACTTTCTCTTCCTTTTTCTCCTCCTCCTCCTCCTCCCTGGCTCCAGGTTTCAGAATACCAGAGAGAGATTCTTGCTGCTTCTCAAAGTAGATGAAATCTTCAAAACATTGATTCTCCTCCTTTATTGCTACATATGGTAGAAGCTTTCCCTCTGGCTCTGGGTATCCCACAAGCTTGGAAGCTGTCTTTCATGTTCAAAAAGAATGAGAAAGGGATTTTTAACACCAAGAGAGAGTCCCCCCCCCAAGAAAATTAAAATACTTTAATTTGTTTAGCAAATATGTAAAGGGTATCTACTTTCCAAACTCTTGTCATAACCTTCAAGGCCCTGCAGACATGGCTTCTGCCTGTCTCTCCAACCTCATCTTGTGTTTCTCCCCAACTTACTCACTCTCGTTACCTTTTCAGTTCTAGACACACTCTTTCCTGTGTCAGAAGCTTTTGTAGGTACTTCCCTCTGTCTGGAATTCTCTTCCCTCTACACTTTAAATGGATAAATCATCCTCATTCTTCGGGGCTCAGCTAATACAAAAGATCATGGAAAAATGGAACTAAAAGATCATGGATTTTTTTCCATAAATTTTTTAAAGCCCTCTCATATATTACAAAGGAGCATAGTAGTTACAAGTTGGGCTGCTAATCTTATGGTCAGCAGTTTGAAACTACCAGCTGTTCTGCAGGAGAACGATGAGGCTTTCTGCTCCCGTAAAGATTTACATTCTCGGAAACCCTGTACAGGGTTGCTATGAGTCGGAACCGACTCCACAGCACATAACAATAATAACAGCATATATCACAATTTCCTTTAAGAATGTTTTCCCTTCTTCTACTCCCATTATTCTCTGTCCCGACACTTACTTATTTACTCTAGAACATATACTATAATTTGTCTTTATTTGTTGGTTTACTTATTTTAGACTACCTCCCCAGTAGCATGTAACAGGATGTTTTTGTACAGAGGTCGTATCAAGTGTTTACTACAGAATCCCCAGTACACATAGAATTTCTGAACATAGTATTATTTGACCTAATAAATGAATGAAAGACATATACAATTTACTTTGGCGTCACTTAAAAAAAAAAAAAAGATGTGAGAATCTAGAGCTAGGCAGAGTTCTGAAATAATGACACCAAAAACATGAGGCATAAAAGGAAAGATTGATAAATTGGACTTTGTCAAATTTTTAAACTCTTTCTTTGACAAGAACAGACATTTCACTGAAGTAGTTATACAAACGGAAAATAAGCATATGACAAGATATTTAGCATCCTTAGCTCTAATCCATGGAGACCTTGTACTGTCTCTAAGGGGCAGCTCATGGGTTTGAATTGCCAATCTTGCCACCAGGACTCCCATTAGTCATAGGTTGTTCCTAAGTGTTGTTGAGTCAGTACTGACTCTTAGTGACCCTGTATAGGATTTCCAAGGAGCAGCTGGTGGTTTGAACTGCAGACTTGTGGTTCTCAGTCCAGTGCTGATCTTATAGCACCTCACCAGGTGTCCCCCATTAGTCATTGTTTTTATTGTTGTGAAGTGCTGTCAATTCGATTCCTACCCATATGGACCCTGTATAGGGTTTCCGAGGAGCAGCTGGTAAGCTTGAACCGCCAACCTTGCAGTTCAAATGGATTTGCAGTCTGGCATATAAACCCACAGCACCACACCAGGACTCCAAAGCCTACAGCACCCGGTATTCCCAGGCAGTCTCCTATCCAAGTACTAACTAGACCCGACCCTGCTAAGCTTAAGAGATCAGACGAGATGGGGCCCATTCAGGATGGTATGGCCCTTTAGGAAACTGCAAATTAAAATCACAATAGTATGTCATCTTACAACTATCAGAGTGGCTAATAATAGTGACAACTTAAAAGTTTATTTTAATAAATATGTGTGTGTTTCTGTGTGCATGTATATTTGTTGTTGTATGCCCTCAAGTTGATTTTGACTCATAACAATCCTGTATGACAGAGGACAAGAACAGCCCCATAGGGTTTCCTAACCGGTAATCTTTACAGGAGCACATCTCCAGATCTTCTCTCATAGTGGCTTGGTGGGTTCCAACCACAGCCTTTTGGTTAGCAGCTGAGTGTAACCATTTTGGCACCAAGATTCCATATACGGGGAGCTTCAAAGAGTTTATGGAAAATGTATTTTTATTCACAAAACTTTTGAAGCCCTTTTGTGAAAATTTGGCAGCTCAAACCCACCAGCTGCTCCTTGGAAACCTTGACTCATAGCAACCTTACAGGACTTCCAGGGAACCAGCTGGTGGTTTTGAACCTCTGACGTTTAGGGTCATTTGCCCTACAGTACCACACTAAGACCCCTAATAATAATATAGTCTTGAAAAATAAATAATCTAGCCTTAGAAATGTAGGGATGTCCTGGTGTGGCATTGTAGTATTAGCAGTGGAGCTGCTAACTGCAAGGTCTGCGGCTCAAACCCACCAGTCATTGCTTGGAAACCCTGTACAGAACTTAACTAACAAGAAGATAACAAAGATAAGAAGGGGCATGGAAAGAGGAACCTAGAAAGAAATAGTATACTAGGTAAATAGGAAGAACATTCTCAAAGGCCAGGAGTCAAAAGAACTTAAGGAATGAATGAGTCTTGCCAGAATGTGGAGTAAGAGAGACTATGAGTGAAGAATAGGACTGGATGGGAAGAGGATTAAGTTTGGAGAACAGTGATTGGTAAAAAGGGGCTTAAATATAAAGGAATGTTAGATGCAATATTAAAAAGATGAGACTTTTCTTGGGAACTGGGAAGTTATTCAAGTGTTAATTCATTTCCAGAAGATCTCAGTTAAAAAACTGTATGGAGAATGAATTTGAGGACCCTAAAACTACTGGCAAAGAGATCTATTTCAGTCATTCAAACAAGAGATGATCACATTGACTGAGGATGTGGAGCATGAAAGAAGGAAACACATCAAATGAAGTGCCTATAGCTTGTGAGATACCGGTTTGAGGACTACAGTGTGTCTCACACAATCCATGGTATTTTCCATAGCCTCACATTCATGTGACAGTTGGACAGTAAATAAGGAAGACCATAGAAGAATTGATGCATTTTACTTATGGTGTTAAGAGAAGAATATTAAAAGTACCATGGACTGCCAGAAGAACAAACAAATTTGTGTTGGAAGAAGTACAACCAGAATGCTCCTTAGAAGCCAGGATAGTAAGGCTTTGTCTCTCATACTTCATAAGCAAGAAAGACATGCTTGGTAAAGTGGAGGGTCAGTGAAAAAGAGGAAGACACCCAATGAGATGGATTGGCACAGTAGCAGCTACAATGGGCTCAGACGTAATAACAATTGTGAGGGTGGCTCAGGACCCGGCATTGGTTCATTCTGTTGTGCATAGGGTCTCTGTGAATCACAACTGATTCAACAGCCCTTAACAACAACAACAACAATAAGTTGTGAGGATGGTGCAAGATCAGTAGTGTTTCGTTCTGTTGTGCTTAGGGTCACTATTAGTCAAAATTGACTTGATGGCACCTAACAACAAACTTGTAAGGAGCCCTGATGTGGCACTGTAGAATAAGCTGTGGACTACTAACCATAAAGTTGGTGGTTCAAACCTGCCAGCTGTTCCTCAGAAACCCTATACAGGGTCCCTGTGAATCAGAGTCCTGGCGTGGTGCTATAGGATTCCTAAGCACTAGAACACATGGTAGGTTTGAACTGCAAGATCAGTGATTCAAACTCACCAGCCACTCCTCAGAAATCTTATACAGGGTCACTGTGAGTTATAACCAACTTGATGGTACTGAACAACAGCAATATAGTTTGTAAAATATTCAAATTTGGGGTAGATTGCTATATTCATTCTTGGATTAGTGAATAAGAAATTCAATTCTAGAACTAGAAGTAATACAGCCTTCAGTTTGAAAAAACAAGTTTGACGTTTTTGTGTGCATTTTTTTTTTTTTTACGTTAACAAAACTAACTACAAGGCAATGTTGCGTTTCCTTTATAAAGATCACTCTAGGTTGGTTGTGAGCATAGGTTGATTGTGGTTTATGAACAGAATATAAAGTTAGAGCAAACTTTCTTGACTTTCTGTTTTAGAGCTCCCTGTTGACGTAAGTCTATTTGGTAGCTTGTGAGCAAACATTAAATGTCTTCTCAAGGGATGTATATATTATATAAGTCCATTAAGGGGAATATTATAGGAGTCATACATGGCTTCCCTGCCCAGGTACAACTTCTTAAGGAATAGTTGTTAGTTTATTTTCTATCTTAGAAGAGAAACAATAACCCATCAAATAAAATAATGTTTACCTAACTTCCTCTACTAGAATATACTTTCTGTGAGGGCAGGAACATTGTCTCTTTTGTTCAAGTCTATGCCCCCAAGCATCAACCATGGTACTCAAACATACAGAAGGTATTCAATAAATATTTATTGAATAAGAAATGAAAAAATATTTGTCTTAAGCAATCAGTTTCACTGAAATAAGAAAAATATTTCTTTTCATTTCAATCTTAACACATTTGTTTTATTTTCATCGCGAGTTTTTAAAGGCTGATATTAGAATGTTTGAAAATAAAATGCGTGTTTTTCATATTTGCAGGACTATCTCAAGCAGGTGCTGGACATTGACCTCCATGCTCAGATCCATTTTGGCAGGGTTTTTATGAAGCCAGGGTATGGAAATAATCTTGTTATCTCCTATATAGAATTTGTTTGACTTGTTTTCATTGAAGTGATTTATTTTCACAGTTTGTATTATAGTTTATCCTAATAAAAAATAAACAATATTAGAATTACTTGTACAGGGCCTACCTGAAATGGTAATTCATATCCTTATGGGTCACTAGGTCTGGTATCCACAAAGCAAAGCAACTTTCCAAGCTTTTCTTCCCTTTCATTTCTCATTCCTAATTTCTTCTTTTTCTCTTTCTCCTCAGATTGCTTCTCTCTGTAAGCATCTTAGAATCAAAATAGGGAGTACAGTGAACCCCACCTGTATCCATCACCCAGCTTCACTAACTATCAACATTTTTTCATACTTGTTTTATTAATTCATACCCTTATCTTTTGGGAGTGGGGGCTGGATTGCTTTAAAAAAAAAACAATTCTAGACCAGGTTACTTTTGTATACATCTCAAATAATAACTACACCAACAATAACAATGGCTTTTTCTTATAAAGGTATAGCTCACCTAAAAAAATAAATAAATAAAGCAAAATCTTTATATCATCTAATACCTGGTTGTATTCAAATGTCCCCCCAAATGTCAAGAAAAAAATGATCTTTTCATCTTGTTTTGTTTGAATTAGGATTCATGTGAAGTCTACGCTTTGTGTTTGATTGTTAAGTCTTTCTCTCTCCTTTGTGTTTTCATGCCAAGGACTTATTGAGGCAACTGAGTTACTTGTCTTGAGAATAGATTTGGTTGCTTCTTCTGTTGATGTTTAAATTGTTCCTTTATCTCCATTATAGTCTATAGACTGGAAGTTAGATCTAAAGACATTATTAGATTCTAATTCAAATTCTGTTTTTGTAAGAATATTTCATCAGTGAAGTTTCATACTGCTTCTTAATACCCTTCAGAAAGAGAAATACAACCATATATGAAGATCTAGCACATGTACTAAAAACGAATGACCCATTAAGGAAAGGCTAATAGAAGTTCTGCAATCAGTTGTAAATTCTCAAAGAATGCCAAGCATTGGACTTGGTGAAACATATGTGTCTTTAAGGAATAATCTGTCTGCTCAGATCCTTGTTAGTTTGTGAAGCTTTGATGCCATTCTCAAAGGCCTCGGTGTATGGTTGAGCATCCCAGGGTAACTCATTCTGCCAGAGACAGCAGAAATGATGCTTTAGTCCAGAATTTTACTCTGGTGGATACAAGTGAACCCTAAAAGAGAGCAGAATGAGGATTTCCCAGTCATAAGACAGCCGTGGGAATCATCAGCAAATTCATGAAGGCTTTTATGTATTAAGCCAGCTCTCACAATGTTCCAGATTTATTAGGTTTCAGCTGTCAGTTCTTGGTGCTGAAAGATAAGCACTGCACTGCTAACCACAAGGTTGGTGGTTCAAACCTGCCAGTCGCTCCTCGGAAACCCTCTATAGGATCCTATGAGTAGGAACTGACTCAGTGGCACTTAACAAGCACAAAACTGCCAGTTCAATAATACAGCTCAGACTTTGCCTACATTTGGCTATACATTTAGAGTTAAGATGATCCCTAAAGCTTTCTCCACATTTTCTTTCATTTAGAATTCTTGACATTGTGTTTCTGTAGCTGCCTGTTGAGTGTGGCAATTGGGCTACCACTAGCAACGTCCTTTTATTATTGAAACTCTTATAAAGCATAGTGTTTTCTCTTGAGAAAATATTATTATACTGTGGGTACACGGGCTCCTTTTTATCCTCTCCCTCAGGACAGTACTAAATAGTACAAAACAAACAGTACAAAAATTGAAAACATTGCTCTCTTTGCAGAGTGAAGGAAGCTAACATTTCTTGACCTTGCCTCTAGAGAAGTATTTGTGCATTATTTATGACTTAAAATAATCTCGGTATCTATGGTGTTGATCCGCTTACAATTATTTACCATTTGTTTCAGCCTGAGGAGTTTGTCAGTTTCTGGTGTTTATTCTCCTGCCTTTAAGTCCTCACACTCTGTGACCTCAGTCATGATGAGTTTCATGGAAATGACTTTCCAGAGTTTAAACAGAGCCTCACAGTCTAGCAACAGGACACGTAAGACAGCAGTGCTTAGTAACAAAATGTCTTGCTGTAATGGAAGCTTTTAAAACCTTGAGAGGTATTTTGCAAGATGCAAAAGATGCCCGGCCTTAATTTAAGTTGGTTTTAAATACAGTAGACGGATTGTTCTGCATTCCTTCCTCACTCCTACTATCTGTGTCTTCCTTAGCTGTATAAGAAAGTGGTTTAGAAATTTAAATGGGCTTCATTTAATTGCTGGAATGTTTTACATGTCTGAAAGTAAGAAGACTTTAAAAGTAATTCCTACTTAATAGTAGGACAAAGAAAACATATAAAAAGCTAAAGTACAATTTAGCTTTGTGCTTCCCACATACAATGCATTCAAAATGCTTTTACCCCCCTTCCTTTCAGAGTCAGAGATACTAGATAAAGCATTCAGAATATATTATCAATCAGATCTACCAATCACTGTTTTTTGTGGGTCATCTACAATAAAAAAAGCTGTTTTCAAGAATTCGTCTTAGAAATTATTTTCATCACAGTAACAGTCATTGCCATATAACTGATCCTATAAATAATATGACCATTTCTCTTGTCTGAAACACAGCAAATAATTGGGAAGTACACAAAAAAGACCTTGGAGAAGCCAAAACAGATGTCATTAAGTCAATCAACAATATCAACACTTCAGAACACACTCTGAATATCTTACCTTAATATAAACCATTGAGTCAGAAAGACCTTGGTTCAGGTCTTTGTTTCCTCACTTAGTAGCTGACTGATTTGGGCCAAATTGCTTAATCTCTCTGAATGTCAATTTCATCATCTATAAAATGGAGTAAGAGCTGTCACCTCATGGGATTGTTGTGAGAATTAAATGAGATGTAGTACCTAGATATTACTTTAAAAACATTATGTTATATTGTTACTATTATCACTATAATAATAGTACTATTACTGCTCTCTGTTTCCCAAACCCAAGAAGCCAGCTTTAAAGTTGGAGATGGTAGCAGGATAGCAGAAACAAGATTTACAGAAACACATCTGTGTGTGAGGTTAGGGTTTACTGGTGAGAACCACCCATAATATCCTTGTAGGCTATTATCACTGTATTATAACAGAGCAGAATAAGTTCATAACGATGGCTGTGGATCATCAAAAATCGTTAATGCCAGCTTAGTAGTTTAAAAATAATGAGCAACTAATCCCTTGTAAAAAAAAAATCAAGCCTGCAGATAATAGAAAAAATACAAATAGTTCAGGTGCTTAAAGGGATAATTTTAGGCTATATGGAAATTACAGAATTCCTTAAAGATTCTTCATTGTTCATTTATCATAAATATGAAAAATGTCCCTGAAGTGCTAAAGAAATGGTGTTCAGTAAAAAGAAATCATCCATTCTCAACTGCCCTCCCCTTCCTGTCATTCTTCCCTCCCATTACTCCCATAAGTAGGGTTCTATGCTGGAGGAAGTATAATTTGAGATTATTTTTTAACTAGTGTTGCTTTATTTTAGTTCTAATCATGGTATTTCATTCATTTTAACATTTCAAGAAACTCCTTCCATAGAAGGAAGGGAACCTGGTTTTAGTCATCTTGAACAATAACAACTCTCTCCAGACATGTATTATCAGACAGTCTTCTGATACCAAGGGCGAGGGTTTTCAATCTCCAGTTGCAGTCATATGGACCTTATTAACTAGAAGTGGGGGGAAACTCCAGGATTTGAGATATGACAAAATTAAAAGTCAAGGAAAAAGTAAACTATAGAACACCAGAAAGTTGGTTTATTTAAAAACAGAAGATGCTAAAAACAAATGTATTTAAATGTTCTTAAAACACTTCATGGTATGAAGATTTAAAGGAGAGTCGACAGAAAGGTGTTTCTATATGATAAGTGATCTGTGTGGACAGTCACACAACAAAAGCACTAGAGTACTTAGTGCACTCTCCTTATTAGCAGCCACTTACAAGTAACCTCTTTTTTCTCTAGTCTGCCAACAACATTTGCAACTTTGGATATTGACGGTGTAAGAAAAATAATCTTTGCACTACCAGGTAAGAATCATTGAAATAGTTTCTTTTGCTTTTCCTAGAAAATGACAGATCTTTCTGGGCTTCCCACATGACTTATCAGAGCACCTGATTTGGAATCTGAAAGACGGGGGCTCAAGCCCTAGTTTTACTGCTAGCTAACTGACTTCATACACACCACATAACTGCTCTGAACACATTTTCATCCAAAAAATGGAACTAAAGTCTCTTTCAGGGGTTCGGGTGAAAGTCAAATTAGATAGTATTTTCAAAGTACTTTCCAAACCCAAGGATGGCCATCAAGTTGTTAGCTGTCACTAGATTTCTAAATTGATCATCTAGCAGCCCAATCACCTACCACAATGACAATTATTGTGCCCAAGGGACTAAAGGGCTTTGAGTCTCCCATGCAAATACTACAGCAAAACCTACAAAGCTACCCTTTGTCCTGGCCAGATTTGGGCTAGGGGAGCGGAAGCAGAGACGCAGTGCTTCTTAGCCAAATCCAACTCATTTCGTCGGTCTACAGCATCACTACCCCTACCCCTGCCCACGTGAACAGCAACTCCTAAGTTCGGAGTATAGAAAAAGCAAAGTGGTTCTGTTCATAAGGATTTTTTTTAATTCAGAATTTAATTTCTACTTTTTTGAGGTCTATGCATTTAAAGCTATTCCTAATCTTGATGACAGGAGCTCTGGTAGCGTAGTGGTTACAAATCGGGCTGCGAACCGCAAGGTTAACAGTTCGAAACTACCAGCTGCTCCGTGGGAGAAAGATGAAGCTTTCTGCTCCCACAAAAATTTACAGCCTCGGAAACCCTGTTCAGGGTCGCTATGGGTCAGAACCAACTCGACGGCACTTAACAACAACAACAACAATCTTGATGAATTTCAAAGCAATTTAAATTCTTGTGTATCCACATACTATTTTTTTAAAACTTAACTTTGTATGATTGCCATGTGATCTATTGCAGTGGCCTTTTCATTATTTGAGGCACAAATTCCTTCAGAAAGTAATCTACCTATTCCTTTCAGATTCAGAAAGCTTTGTGATATTTATTGTCTTTTTATGTTGAAGAGCAACACTGAAAATAGAGATAAGAAAGAGAAGCAGGTGGAAGACTTTAGAACTTTGAAAACATTGTTAACTTTTATCTATAAGCATACAGGAGATGAGATTTTTAATCACCTAGAAAATTATGTAAAGTAGTTCTCCAAATTTAACTATAGCATAGAGTTCCCTTAGCTAGTATTCTGAAGACTATCATGAAGAAACGTGCCCCTCTTTCCAGTCTCGTTTTGCCCAGAAGAGACTGTTTACTGACTATAGACGTTACCACTATAGATGGCCTACATGCCATCAGTTGACAGTATAACAAAGGACTTTATAGTGGGGGTCAATTTTGCCGGTACAATTGACATGTTGATCTGCCCAAGAGGTGAAAACTAAATAATCCATTTTCAGGTTAGTATTTTTAATTTCAAATTTTCTCTGCTCAACCTGAATGAACCAAAAGAGGGCAGCAACGATTCACATGCTTGTTTTGTAGAAATATCGAAATAGTAGTTTATGAGCATATCCTACTTCAAAATTTAATTTGTTTTTCTAAATGAACCTAAATTTAAAGCCTTTACTAATTTACTAAAGCAGTTTGAAAGTTTGTGTATCTACTTACTATTTTTTTAGCAGCTGAAATTACTATAGTAATATATGCTTAGTTCAAAAACCTTAGGAAATATATTCAGATACACATAAAACCATCTGCCTGATGTGATACTGTAGGATAAGCACTAGGCTGCTAACCACAAGGTCCAAAGTTGAAACCTCAGGAGAAAGAAGAGAGTACATAGAATGGTTTAAATCAGGAAAGGTATGTGCCAGGGTTGTATTAATTCACCATACTATACCAAGCAAATAATTCAAGAATCTGGATTATCTGAAGAAAAATGTGGCATCAGGATTAGAGGAAGATTCATTAACAGCCTGACATATGCAGGTAATACAACCTTGATAGCTGAAAGCAAAGAAAACTTAAAATACTTACTGATGAAGATGAAAGACCACAGCCTTCAGTATAGGTTGCACCTCAATGTAAAGAAAACAAATATCCTCACCACTGGACCAGTAACTATGATAAATGGAAAAAAAAAAAAAGACTGAAGTTGTCAAAAACTTCAGTTTGCTTGGACTCATTATCAACACTCACGGAAGCAGTAGTCAAGAAATCAAACGATATATTGCATTAGGCAAATCTGTTGCACAAGACCTTTTTAAAGTGTTCCAGAGCAAACACAAAGTGTTTACTGAGGTACACCTGACTCAAGCCATGGTATTTTCTTCTTCCTTTTTTTTGTAAATTTTTTATTGTGAATTGAGTGAAGGTTAACAGACAAGATCATCAGCTTTATAGTCAACAAATTATAAACTTTGTTTCATCTCAATGATTATAATCCCCTCCCTGCAACAACAGCTATCCTACTTCCTCCCTGTGCCTTCCCTTTTATATTTTATATTTCACAAATGAACAAAGCAAAAAGATTTGATATACACATGCAAAACATAAAGTTTATATTCATTTAAATGTCCTAAGGGCGTATTCTGCAAGCCAGCTTCCTGCCCGTAGGCACAGCCTTACTCAGTCCAGAGGCCTAGAGTCCACAACTGCTCTATCTCTCCATGCCACTGTCTCTGCCACTGTCGTCTCACTTTTCTAGCTACAATCTCAAAGCCCACTCATGCTTGTCCTTCATGATGGACGTGGGATGGTTCCTGAAATGAAAGATGAACTATTCTGCCCTTTTTGTTACACATCTTCTGCAATTACAGTTGTGACAATCACAAGTAATCCTGCTAACAACTGCTAAATCCTATCACCATCATCCCTCATCTCCTTTCACCAGCTCCACCTAAAAAAGAGGAAAACTAGTCAGTGGGAATTCTACCTTAAACCCCTCATTCTGAAACTAAGCACACTCATGAAGCCAGCTACTTCATGCCTTGATAGCCGCCCCCCCCCCCATTTTTGATAGCCAGTGTCTACATTGCCCACCCCTATTAACCCAGTGCATTGAGGATACAAGTTTGTTCCTTGGAAGAACCCTTCCATTCCAGTTGAAATTTTGAGCAGCTGCATCCATAAATGGAATCCTGGTTGTGGTTCTGCAGGATAATGCGCTGGACTGCAAGGTCAGTTTGAACCACATGGTCAACAGTTCAAACCCACTAGCCGCTCCTTGAAAATCTCATACAGGGTTGCTATGAGTCGGAACCAACACGACAGCACTTAACAACAACAGCAAGCATCCATAAGCAAAGGTCCAGTTCATCAAATTGTAGCAATATACACTTGCTCCCAGTTTCAAGCATCTTTATCTTCATCTGGTCAAGTTCTGGTTAGCTAACCATCTAAGCTAGGTCAAATGGGTACTGGTTGAAAGTTTGGGAGTTCACACATGGCTCCCTGCCCTTCAAACCAGCTGGATGTTTCACTCTCAGCTCTCGCCCCCAGTGGCAAGGTTAGTTAGTGCCCATGGTCTCAGGAGTTCACACATCTCTCTAAACTTCAGATCAGTCAGCCCTTCCTCTTCTGTCTATCATCTCAAGGTGTCCATGGAACATGGCCCCATTCAGCCCATGTCTTCATTGCTGCATTTCCCCCACTTCCACTTACCAGTAGACCCAGCTGGTCACCAGTGAGCACACTAGACTGCTTGGGGGTTTCCTTTGAGTTTCTGTCCTAGAAGGGGTTTTCCCTGATGGGCTGACTTTTCTTGCCTTGATGCCTTTAAAGCAAACAGCTTACTGGATATTCTAACAGCTAAACAGTCTACTTTTTTCATGCAGATCTTTCTTTCATTAAGAATCTTCTGTTCTCCCAGCAGTTTTTGGTTGAAGCCATGGTATTTCCAATAGCTTTTTATGCATATGAAAGTTGGACAGTTAATAAGGAAGACCGTAGAAGAATTGATGTGTTTGAATTATGGTGTTGGAGAAGAATATTAAAAGTATCATGGACTGCTAATAAAACAAACAAATCTGTATTGGAAGAAGTACAACCAGAATACTTCTTAGAAGCTGGGATGGCCAGACTTTGTCTCTCATACTTCAGGCATATTATCAGGAAGGACCAGTCCCTGGAGAAGGACTTCATGCTTGGTAAAGTGGAGGATCAGAAAAAAAAGAGGAAGACCACCAACAAGATTGGCACAGTGGCAGCAGCAATGAGCTCAAGCTTAACAATGATTGTGAGGTTGGTGCAGGACCAGCAGTGTTTCCTTCTGTGGTACATAAGGTCGCTGTGAGTTGGAACCCACTGGACAGCACCTAACAACAACAACAGAGATATACAGCCTTGGAAACCCTAAACAAGGTCACTGTGAATCGGAACCAATTCACCTGCATTTAACAACAATAGCCCATGAAATAATGCTGTCTATAGTCCCCTTTACCAAGAAAGAATCACTGTTTGCAACTTTCTGGCATCTATCCTTCCAGTCTTTTTTCTCATGCGCTGGACCACAAGGTCAGTTTGAAACACGTGGTCAACAGTTCAAACTCACTAGCTGTTCCTTGAAAACCCCATACAAGGTTGCTGTGAGTGGAACTGGCTCCACAGCACTTACTAACAATAACATTTCAGGATTTAAACTTTTTAAATTATCATAGTAATATATTCTCAGTACAAAAAAATTTAGAAAATACGGGTAAGTGTGAAAAAATGCTGCCCATAATCCCTCCACCCCAAAATCACGTAGAATCCAGATGTCTTCTTCAAGAACAAATCTGGCTGCGTTCTGGTGTGGGAAATTGAAGGTGTGGTCCTAGCTGTCACTGGGATGGTGCCTTGGCAACACTAAGCTAATTAGGACTTAGTCAGCAGGACCTCCATGTCTAATAGCCCATTTCACACCCCCACTAGATATGTACAGATTGAGTTGTTGTTGTTAAGTATCCTGGATACAGTTCCAACTCATAGTAGCCCTGTGTAGAGTTTCCATCAAATGACTGGTGGGTTTGAACTGCCAACCTTGCAGGTAGTAGTCAAGTGCTTATCTTACAGCACCACACCAGGACTCACATACAGATATATTACAAGAATAAGAAAATTAGAATTTTAGAACCAGAAGGAACCTTAAACATGAAGAACAAACCTTTCATTTTATGGATGGGTAAGTAGACAGAAACATTTGGAATTTGCCAAGATCATTCAACTTCGTCTGTAAAGATACAAGAAATCAAATCTTTTGTTCCCAACGTAGTATTGTTTCAACAGCTCATGACACATCCAGATTTATTCTTTCAGAAATGTATTTGAACCTCTCAAATTCTTTGTATCACTTTAAAAGAATTCAGAATTTCAAGTTTTTTACATCTTGAAACATTTAAAACGTTATTTTAAATTTTTAGGTTTATTTAAGATTTTTAAAGTTTTGTTTTAGGATTGCACATAAGATTGGTGGTGGTGGTGGTGATGTGCCGTGGAGTCGGTTCTGACTCATAGTGATCCTGTACAGGGTTTCTGAGGCTGTAAATCTTTACGGAAACAGAAAGTCTCATCTGTCTCCCATGGACTGACTGGTAGTTTTGAACTGCTAACCTTGAGATTGGCAGCCCGACTCGTAACCATTACGCTATTAATTTTTAGTTATAAAATATTAAAACCAAGTGATTTAAGATGTTAAGGACTTGAAGATGAATTCCTTTTTAATTCAAAAAAATTTGGTGTTCATCTTCAGGTCCTTAACATCTTAAATCATTTGGTTTTAATATTTTATAATTAAATTATAAAAATAATTTGATAGTACAAATTATTCAAATAGATTTATTTTTCAATTTAAAGGATTTTAAAATTTTATTTTGCTTATCTTTATTTTCTAATGTTTTTGTACTGAACATGTATTACTATGGCAATTTTTAAAGTTTAAAACAAGACCTTTAGTCTGTTTTAATTTTTTTCAAAATGAGCCCTGGCTTTAAATGTGTGATCCTCAGAAAAGCAGAAATAAATGTAATTTCTGTTATAATAGTGCTAGCCAGCTTCTGGGTATCTTTGTCTTTCTCTGGTAGACCTCTGTGTCATCTGATTCAGTATCACTGGGTTCCGACATCTTTTGAATTCAGAGTTCTTCAGAAGAGGAGAATGGTCGTTAGTTGTGTCCACCATTCTCTATGAGGGAATAGGCAGGTGTGATTGGTAGGTTTTCATGTATGTACTATTAATAACTGCATGATTGACTTTCAGGGAATCCTGTGTCAGCCGTGGTCACCTGCAATCTCTTTGTTGTTCCTGCACTGAGAAAGATGCAGGGCATCTTGGATCCTCGACCAACCATCATCAAAGCCAGGGTAATGTTTTCTAATAACCAGAGACCAAAACTTCAGACAAATATCTAGAATTTTATATCAGTTTCAAGAGAAAATGTGGCTATAGTCTTCCCTTCATGATAGAAAATGGGGGAGAAAGGAATCCTTTTTATTCCCTTCTACATTATTTTATTACTTCTAATACAAATTATTTTCTCCAGCTAGAAATCCATATGGGAGTCTGTAGAGCCAAGTTTAAGAATTTGAGTGGATACTTAAGGGCAAAATGATCATTAGGGTGCTCATTGTCACCACCCTCCCCCTAGACCTATATAGAAATAGGAACAAGAATTTTCTTTCCCCAGTGTAAATTCACAGAGCACAGCAAGTGACGTGCTCACTTTTTCTTTGCCTGACAAATATTAAATAATTCAAAAGAAGGCAATCAAAAGGCTAGAAAAGGACCCTGCTGGCTCAGGAAAGAAGGATGATAACAGATAACTAAAAGCAAAACCCATCCAAAGCCACTCAGGCTCACTGTGACCCTATAGGATAGGAAAGAGCTTCTCTCAGGGTTTCTAAGGCTGTGGTTTCCATGGAAGCAGACTGCCACAGCTTTCTCACATGAAGCAACTGGGGTTCCAGCTGCCAATCTTTTGGTGAGCAACCAAGTGCTTAATCACTGTGCCACCAGGGCTCTTTAAGTATACCTAAGGTCAAAGAACTATCCCCATGATAAAAGTCACTTTGAAATTCAGACTCCCCTTCTCCACCAACACTAGCTTCAATTTGGTTTATTGTATATACTTTCTGCATTACTAATGAGTAACTTTCTTGGCAGTATGAACTGTAATACCAACCATTATTTTTTTAATATTTTGGAAATAAATTCAGATATGACAGAACATAAAACACAGAAAAAATGAAAAAATATTAATAAAAGACTATTCTAAATGTGTGATCCTCAGGAAAGCAGAAATAAATGTAATTTCTGTTATAATAGTGCTAGCCAGCTTAGATAGATAGATCAAACACTAAGATAGATAAACAGATAGATCAAAATACTAAGAAAAACTAGACTTTAGAAATAAATTCTTCTTAGTATTAAGAAGTTACTGAGATTCTGGGGACTAGTACATGGTGAAATGTCTTCTTTTCTGAAAACTTCAGTAAAAGTTCAACTAAGTATTCCTGAAAGCAAATTAACACAGTGTTAGTGTTATTTGAAGTTAAATGGCAAAAAAAAAAAAAAAAGTATTCTAATCAAATTGGAAGGTCAGAGCTATAAAGCTTAAAATTAGGCATTTAAATCAGTAATACTCATTGTTTTCATATTTACTTAATTTAGGAAATGAACACCCACATTTTTATGAAGGAGAAAAAGGGCTTTTCCTTGACTTTGCAAAACTCTTACTTTAATATCCACCATCTCTTGAGACTGACTTAGTGGTAGTCATCCATCCATTCTGACAAGGATGACTAGATAATACTCTTGTAATCAAATTATTCATAGAAGCTTAGGAAATTGAGAAGTGGTTCAAGATTCAGCCAAATTCCTCTCTCCCACAGAGCAATGTCACTGTGGCTGCCAGAATGGCTCATCAGTATGCTTGACTGTTTACCTCCACAAATCACTCTCACAACGTCACTGAAACATAACTGTAACTTTAGAGCATAACCTTATTCACTTCTCTGAAACATACGGTACTCTCTGACCCCATATGATGTAGCTTAAAGATATAACTGCTACTATTGTCCATGAGCAGGTCAATGGAAATGTTGCCACACTCACTGCCTCTACCAGCCATTACTTCTTTTAGGACGGGAGAGAGGGTGCTAAGTGCTGGTGTTGGTAATCACACTGCTGGACTCTAATTTAGCCATCCTGTTGGGAGGGCAGTGCTGTAGTATGTTAAAGGACTAGCATGGAAAATGCCATTCTTCCACATCAAATCATTCTGAAGATTAGCAGTTCAGAATAATATATTAGTTGTCCCCTGGATCGGCTGATTTGCAGTGGACAGTCAGAAACACAATTTTAGCATTTAATTGAATAGAATTATTGAGCAAATGTTTCTACAAAAAGATAGGCTTAATGTGGTCTTCCTTCATATTTCATCAGAGCTTCCTGTACTGCCCTTGTTCTCAATGTTTTCCTCTCTGATCACACCTGAGATAACTTCCACTAGTATTAGCAGCTTGCCACAAAAGGCTAACTGCTCTTGGTCATCAGACCCCAAAAGAGTCCAGGCCTCCAGCAACACCCAGAACCTGTAGCATATCTTCCTGGCCTTCCACCTGAAATGTGATTTCTCTCTTGTGGTCCTCGGTTTTCTCACAAGCTCACTTCCCTATACCGGGCTGCTCTTAGTCCCAGCCAGATCCCTTGAACCCTTGGGAGTTTTCAGCTTTTCCTCATGCTGCCATCAAACCTTCCAGAGACCATTCCTCCACAGACATTCAGGTCTTAGGTACTTGTCTAACAGTCTTCCTCTCCACCTTACCTCTATAATTCTAAATAACTTTATTTCCACTCAACAACCTACACCCACATCCTTTATAATACTCTAAACTGCTCAAATTCAAAAAAGTTTTTTTAATGTTTTACATCAAATATGCAATTTACAATTCATAGAAAGTTACCTATCAATAAATATACATACCTAGCTCCCTCAGTCCCTGAACTTCTGACGTCACCACTTTCCTCCATCCAACCTAAATCCTATGGTGTTTCACTTCAACCTTTTAAAATACCTTCAACTCTCTTGCCTCTGCTCACTTTCACTGCAGTCTACTCTGAGAATCCACAAACTTGGATCAGTCTTTCCTTTTTTGTCTTTTGCTTTTATGCCCAAGCCACCACTAAGAACAACTAGATACCTGATTTAGTTAGAGATTTATAAATGGTACGTGATAACTCAAGTATACAGCTACTTGAGTTATCACGTACCATTTATAAATCTCTAACTAAATCAGGGGCCAAGATTCCCTTTGTTGTTGTTGTTAAGTACTGTCGAGTCGGTTCCAACCCATAACGACCCGATATGAGGTTTCCAAGGAGCTACTGCTGAGCTTGAACTGCCGACCTTGCAGTTCAAACGGCTTTGCAGTCTGGTGCATTAATCCACAGTGCCACACCAGGCAACCTTTACTTACTTGATTCCATTCCTACCACAG